TCTCTCTCTCTCAATGTTTCGTATTATTACTTAATATAGGTAACATTTAGTATAATGTAAAATGAATGAGGAATGAGTAATATAGACAAAAATATAAGCCTACCTTGTTTTATGGACGTTAATGGCATTTAAAAACATCAGGTACATCTGGTATTAATTTTTAATCACCTTACGTAGTTGATAATAACACAATCAACCAATTTTATTATAAATTTTTGTATTTTTATAAAAGAAGATTTATTGTAGAATACTTTACATTCATTATATACATATATTATACATATTTGCAACCATTATAAAGATTAAATCGGTATTTTTACAAAATCCATCAATTTTTTTGATCGTATCATCACAAGATAAGATGATAATTAACAATAATAAAACTGATAATTGATATCAATACAAATATCAAGCCAAACTATATTTGAACTAATTTTATTTTAATTTATCTTTTCATTATTGTTATTTAATAATTATAAAATACTTGATTTTTTTCAATAAATTATTAAAATTAGATATTAATTAATGATTTCTTTTATTAATCTTATGCTTTCAATTATTTTCATTCATAAATTCAATACTTTCAAAGGAAATATGACTAAAGACGTAGGAACAATTTAAGCGATCGGTTGCCTAAATCGTATTTTTTGCAACATGTTATAAAAAGAATTATCCAATTGATTTATTATTGATGAAAAGTTAAACATGTAATAAATAAGCGTCCGAAATCCTCAAATTACAATTTTTAATGTTCATTTGCATACAAAACAGTATCAAATGGAAAAAATATAATATAAAAGAGATACGGCAATGTACAAATAGATTCCATATAGAAGCAACAATAATTTCTTAATAAAAATGACATTGCATATTTGTATGATAATCTTGAAATTGCTGAGAGGGCCCTGAAGCACCACTTGTCATATCGTCATGCCTGAGCGCGTGTAGTATCAGTTCCATGATTAGTAAATTTTAATCGCTATTTTAAAAACTATTATAAATAGTTATTACCTCGATATTTTCGTCTTAGAATGTTCTAAAAAATCCGTTCTTAAAAAGACGTTCGTGAATTTTGAGACACCCTGTACATATATATAAAATTAGAAAGAAAAAAAATGTAAGTTATACAAAATATTTGAAGGACTGTTGATTCGTATTTATTTCAACATTCTTTAATTCAGTCAAGACAGAAAAAAAGAAGTATTTTTTAAAGTATTTATTAAAGAATATTGAAATAAATACGAATCGACAGTCTTTCAAATATTTTGTATAACTTATTTTTTCTTTTTTTTTTTAAAGATAAATATTTATATTGTAGAAATTAAAAAATGTTAAATCTGATAGCAGGAAACATTCTTGACGTTGAATGCATTTACAGCATACACTAATTATTAAAAACACATTATGTATGTAAAGTATATTTCAGAATTATTTGCTAGATTATAATCTAGTTATTTCTTGTTTTTATAGATCGATACATTACTATCGTGTATTTAATTGAAATATTAAAATTTATTGTGACTTTAATAGAAAAATAATTTCTTCTCCAGAATAACAGTTTATAATAAGTAAGGAAAAAATCAATAATAATTTATGGTAGCATTAATATCAATAATATAAATGCATATTACGTAAAATGTGATGTTGCAGTTGTCAAATTGCTGCTTAATGATTACAAAAAAAAAACTGAAAATATTTATCACGATTAAATTAAAAATCGAGGACAATGATACGTCAGCATTAAATTTATTAAATATTGATTTATACATCACTTGAATAAAACCACAAATGTGTTTACTCATTTTAAATATGTTTTGCTCATATTCTCAACGA